ATAGTATGTATTAGGTTTGGGTACATGTTTACATTTAAGTATGTATATGCATGTGTGTATATACATTGTGTATATTTATTTATATGCATTAGTGAGTTAACTATGTTTAAAATCTATTATTTATTTTATTTATTATATGTTAAAATAACAAGGCAAAATGATAATTTACACAATAGGTAAGACACCAATATCTGTCTATTATCAAAATGGACGGGGACTACGTACAAAACTTCATACACTTTATCTAGAAATATTAAATAATGATTACGACATCATTATTTTAACAGAAACCTGGTTTCACGATGGTATCTTGGATGGGGAGATCTGTGATAATCGGTATATTGTGTACAGACAGGATCGTATACTAACGGAAACAAGCACATCATCAGGTGGAGGTGTGGCAATCATAATTCGTCGTACACTTAATGCGACTATGGACGATTTGTGGAAACAGCCGTGCACTTCTATCGAGACGCTTTGGATAACAATACCGGTACTGAGTCATACGTTCACAACACGAAGCGCACACGTTCCCTTGCGCCCTCACACCCCGCTTGGACAAAAACTGCATATCATAACTACTTATATACCGGGTAAATCGTCAAAGCATCGTCGTACGGACGAAATGCACGCAAAAGATATTAAATCGTTCTTGGAATCGTTTAGTAGTAGAATTATCTCGCGCGACTTTTATGTAATTGCAGGTGATTTTAATTTATCTAATATACACTGGAATGTGAGTGGACCTACAATACTAAGACAGGGTTCTACCGAGCTACTAACTATAGGGGAGCAATTAATAAACGAACTAGCCTACCATGGTTTCCGACAATACTCCAATATAAAAAACAGTTGCAATAACACATTAGATTTAATTTTCTCTAATATAGACATAGAAATAATATTATGTGACAAACCCTTAACTAAGATAGATATATTTCATCCTCCCTTCGAATTTGACTTAAATGTGGCTATCCCTCCTCTCAAATGCCCTTTTATTAAGAAAAATAAGTTTTATTCAGCTGATTTTGTTAAAATAAACACATATTTATGTGAAATCGACTGGGCCACTCATTTATACACTGGACATGTTGAAGAAGCTGTAGATTTCTTTTACAAACAACTTAATTATTGCAAAGACAAATATGTACCAAGTGTAATATCTCTACCTCACAACACGAAAAGGCCCCCGTGGTATAATAAAACATTAATTAATATCTTAAAAGAAAAAGCTAAGGCTCACAGAAATTGGAAAAAGTTTCATAACTTAGCGGATTACAATATGTTCTCTTTATTACGTAAGCGTGCGTCAGTTTATAATAAACAATGTTATAATAATTATTTGGATACTACTCAACAAGCCATACTGAATAACCCTAAATGTTTCTGGACTTTTATCAAATCAAAACGTGGTAATACTTATTCTTATCCAAATAAAATGTCGTATAAAAATACAACGCATAGCGAAGGCCCAGCAATTGTAGAAGTCTTCAGTTCATTTTTCAAGTGTTTTTATCCCGCCTGCTCCTTCATATCCTGATGTTGCATTACTTATACCTTCTAGTAGCAACGACCGACATTTACATTGCTTTCGGGTTTCCAAGGCAGATGTTTTTAAAGCGCTGCAGAAAGTAGATGTAAAAAAGGGACCGGATAGTGACAAAATCCCACCCATATTTATATTCAAATGTGCTAAGTCATTGTCTGAGCCTCTTCACATTTTATTCAATAGATCTCTTCAGGAAGGTTATTTCCCATAGATCTGGAAAGAAGCTCACGTAGTATCCATATTTAAATAAGGAACCCGTACTAAAGTTGAAAATTATAGACCTATATCTATACTTAATATATTCGCGAAAATATTCGAAAAATTAGTATTTAATTACATTTACCCGACCTTAAGTCGAGGTTTACCAGAATCTCAGCATGGTTTCCTCAAAGGCAGATCAACTATTAGTAACCTAATACATTTTATCACAGAGACTATCAATCATATGGATGGCGGGGGGCAGGTTGACGTGATCTACACGGATTTCGAAAAAGCCTTCGACCGCGTGGATCACGTCATCTTGCTTCGTAAGTTAAAAATACTAGGAATACACGGGGACCTTTTGCGATGGATTGAGTCTTACCTAAAAAATCGTTCACAAGCAGTAGGTGTAGGAGGACACAGATCAAATTTTATAAAAATTACATCTGGTGTGCCACAAGGGTCTCACTTAGGGCCCCTCCTGTATAACACCTATCTATATGATATATATATACATGCTTTAAACACTACTCGTTCTTGCTGTATGCAGATGACAAAAAAATATTTATTAAAATTAACAATTTAAATGATTGCCATAAGCTTCAAGAAGATTTAAACAGGTTGGACTATTATTACAAATATAATCGAATCACAGTTAATGTCAAGAAATGTCAAATTTGCACATTTACACGCAAAACTAAACCGGTTGAATATGCATACAAATTGAACGGATCAATAATTCAAAAAACAGGGATAATCCGAGATCTTGGTATCTTATTGGATTCCAAACTTACATTTAGTAATCATATTGACTACATCACAAATAAAGCATATAGAAACTTAGGCTTCTTAATACGTATATGCCAACCTTTCAATAACTTACCCTGTATTAAAGTATTATATTATGCCTACGTTTGCAGTATATTAGAGTATGGTAGCAACGTATGGTGTCCATAATACTATACGTATATTAACAAAATAGAAGTATTGCAAAAAATTTTTTGAAGTTTATGGACTACAAAATTAAAGAACAACATCAAACATACAAAGAAAGATGTATATTCTATAAATTCCTTTCATTAGCAGACGGAAGAAAATTGCTTGATCAAACATTATATGATCTCATTCACGGCCGCCTAGATAATTCGCATTTACTTGGACTTGTCAATTTCTCCACACCCATATATCGTACTAGATACACTAAATTATTTTTCATCTCTCACTCTCATACGAAATATACCAAAAACTCACCAATAAACCGGATGTGTTGCACCTATAATAATTTTTTTGACAATATTGATATTTTTACGAAAAAGAGAGAAAACTATAAAACTGAAGTATGCAAAAATCTCTTCAATAGTTATTCATGATTAAGGTATTAACTCAGATCACATATATGTGAGTACAGACACACACACACACACACACACACACACACACACACACACACACACACACACACATTATGTTGTTGTATATACAATGTTTATAGTAGTACCGCTGATTATTCTTTGTACCGATAAGGAATCGTCGCTCATTCTTTTAAATTATGTTTCGATAATATAGGGAAACCTGTAATAAGGCTTATGTTAAGATAATCCGATCTGTTGTAAATTTTAATAGTTTAAAGCTGTTGGTTTTCTAAATAAATAAAATAAAATAAAATAAAAACAAATGGTAGCATACCATTCCGCAGTAACCGTTCTTTGTCCCTCAAGAGGAATAGTCGTAACATGGCCGGTTTTGGAGACAAACGTGGCCACCATTTTTTTTGCAACACTCTGTGAACGAACAATTTTTGTTGGCTTTAACTCATTTCCGAACACCCAAACTCGTGACTGGTTTTTTGTTTCGGGTTCGTACGCGTATATCCAGGATTCGTCACGTGATACGATGTTGTATACAGCATTTGAGGATCCTGCGTGGAATCTTTCGAGAGTTCTGACGCACCAAGTAACGCGAGCCGCTTTTTGCTCTTTACAGAGCGAATGCGGTATCCATCGGGAAAACAACTTTTTTACACCTAATTGTTCATGTAAGATTATTTGTATTTGACTCATGCCAATGTCTAAAGTTGCCTGAATTCGCGGTATTTCACATGTCGATCTTCCTCAATCAGCTTACGCACAGCATCAACGTTTTCTTGGGTGACTGCAGTTTTTGGACGACCTTGACGAGGATCATCACTAAGCTTGACACGAAATTATGAATTGACGTTGAAATTCAGCAAACAAGCGATAAATTGTGGTTTTGGATGGGGCTTTATCACCAAATGCAGAAATCATCCGGTCAACCCACTGTTTTTGTGTTGAACCACTTCGAATGTCATAATAAATCATCGCTCTTAAATTTTCTCGAGTAAATTCCATTTTCTCAACGACTAAACAAGTTTGACAAAACCTTGTGACAAGACCGAGAATCTTTTTTTTTTAATAAATAAATGGTGTTTGATTTTTAAAACCAAGGAGTTTTCAATTAAAAAGATTTTAATATAACAGGAACGATACTTTTAGTGTAATAATAGTAATAATAAAAAATAAATAAATATACCTTCTCCGTTCCGTCGCAGGTAAAATGTGGTAAAAATTAAAAAAAATATTATAAAATGTCACTTGTTACTAATTATCAGATCGATAAATGTTATCACTGGCTATACGTACTAGTTGTACAATCACGTTTTTCAAGTTTGGAGGTACACCTGACGAGATGTGTCGTAATTTCCCGAACGCAGCCCAGCTGAGTTGAATCCGTCGAATGACCTTTCGGTCGTAGTTAAACTTACCTAATCGTACTATTTGTTTAAGGTAAACATAATCGTCAACAACTTCAAGCGTAGCGTAGTGTTTCCAACAACTACTGGCATAATTATGACATGTACATTATACATGACCTTTGTGTTGGCCATGTTCAGGGACGTTACACGTTATTTTCATGGATATAGAATTATTTTAACGTTCAGCAATCACGGCTTCTATTTTTTACTTACTAAAATGAAAATTTGTTAGTTTGTTTGTCTTTTACACGTTCATGTACCGTTCATCATATTACGATGAAACTTTCGTGACTTTTTGTGTATGCGCTCACGGATGTTCTTATGTAACAATATAAAAGAATTAGAACGCATTCCTTACACAGCAAGTAATAATTAAAAAAAAAACACATTTATAATCTGTTTAGTGGACCATATAAATATATTTTAATACAAAAATTATATTACATTTTGAAGAGAGAAAGGCACTACTATACAAATTTACATATTATGTTTTTCCCTGTCATGACGACGGACGAACTTCAAGTTGATTTTGGTACTAGGTTGCGAGATAATACCTCTGGGGTCAAACTTGATCGTATCAGGAGTGTCACTTGCAGTTTCCACTCGGTAATTCTTGAACAGTGCCACCATTCCTGCCAATGTTTGCATCTTTGCAAAACGCATACCTAAAACAATTTTATTTTTTAAATTGAAACAATACACCAATACAGTAATCGCGAAAATAACGTCAATTTTTTATGAAATAGAGAAACTTTTTATTGAATGAAGATTATAAATAATACTTATTGAAAGTCAGTATTATGCTTAATTTATCACTGCTTTGGAATATATAGCTCTATCCTGGTATAAACTAGTAAGAAACCCAAGGGGATTTCTTCTAAAAAAGGACAATTTACAGTAATTGATGTTACATAATAACTAAGAACAATAAACAAATTAGATATGGCATAGTAGCGATGACGTCATTTATAGTGGTTATTATCATTCATAAATTCCTTAATATTAAAATTACCCTTTTTATACCTACAATTTTGTTTAATAAAGTTTTTGAACTTGGCGTAAGTCAGATTTTCTGGAATTTTGTTATAAAAATGTTTACATCGGCCAAGAATGAATTACTGACTCCGTGCAGTCCAACCCCTGGTACTTTTATAGCTTGTCTGTATCTAGTATTTAAAGAATGAAAATCACTTATATTTTATTTAACATATAAAACTACTTATATTTTTCTGTACATACATTACTTTTTGTTAATATCCAGAGAGACCAAAGTTAATATATGGTCCTTAAATACGAAATTAGCGTTTTGTCGTACTGACCATTTTGATCTGAAATATTTCCTCTTTAGTTAAGAAATTCAAATTTATAAATTCATTTAGCTGGTACATTTGAGTATTTAAAACAGTCATTCATTTGTTTTTTTCCTCATTATTTTTTTCTTTGGCGTCGCTTATTACCGCACAATGGAAAACATGAAATATCGGTATTATTATTAAATACATTATTAAGTATATTATTAAATTATGGTATTATTTACGAGTACGAATTCTACCAGTGCTGCAGAAACAGTTAGAAGGATTAATGATGTGTACGGCGCTGGTGTCGCAAAAGAAAGCACGGTACGTTTTTGGTTTCAACGTTTTCGTTCTGGAAATTTCGACCTTCAGAACCAAAGCCGTGGACGGCCGGAGACCAAAGTGGAAAATGAAGAATTAAAGGCTATTGTGGAAGCGAATCCATCACAAAGCACTTCAGAGATAGCTGCAGGCTTCGGGGTAAGCGATAAAACTGTATTAATCCACTTGAAGCAAATCGGGAAAGTAAAAAAACTGAACGATGGGTACCTCATGAATTGAGTGAATCGAACTTGCAAACACGCGTCGACTGCTGTATTACTTTGCTCAACCGACACAAAAATGAAAGGATTTTAAATCGAATCATTACTTGAGATGAAAATTGGATACTGTACGGTTGGAATACCTGTGACATCCACCGTACTCCCCGGACCTTGATCCAATAGATTACCGTTTTTTCCGGAATTTGAACAACTTCTTACATGGAAAAAATCAACTCCAATGCGGCAGTCCATACCGCCTTCAAAGAGTTTATTGATTCCCGCCCCCATGGCTTTTTATAGTAAAGGGATCAATGAACTACCTGTGAGATGGCAAAAGTGCGTAGATAACAACGGTGCATACTTTGATTATTTAAATATATTTTACAAAAAAAATTGACTTTATATTCCTCCCGTACAAAACGACAATTTCATATGTAAGGACCTGTTATATTAATTTCCTTAAATGATTATCTTGGAGACTATTTAGGTTTCGAGTTGGCAACAATTAAGATATTACTTTAATTTACCATTTAAAAGTGTATATTTATAAATATTAGCGATATTTTAAAAATAATGACACACCCGGGAAAATCACGACATGACGCTTTCAACTATACCTTTATCAAAATAAGACGAGTAGCTTAGGAGATCTGAGGGAACACATAAAAAGACATACAAAATATGCCAATATCCCTCATTTTATTTTAGCAGTAGTGGGGTAAAAGTATGATCAAAAAAGTAACCAAAATTGGTTCACAACTGACAATGATATCGCCTATACATCCATGTAGTCGAATTTGGTAACCTCTACTTTTTGAAGTCGGCTAAAAAGCGACTAATTATGAAAGTAAATACAAGTTTATATTAACTGTAATTTGCTGTTAATTTTAATTAAATCATTAACTAAATTAAAAATGTAAACGTTATGCTAATAATAAACAATAAAATTATTTACCTATTATATCAACGGAAACGTACGTGATAAAAATATAAAACAACGTGTACAAAAAAATATTTTTTTTGAATCGGTCTGAGTGTGTGGAGAGAAAAAATATTGATATTTTACAACATCGTAACGAAAACATGACAGTGTACAATGAGTTTATTATAGGAAATTTTTTCAGTGTACGCATTTTTTAAATAATTTAGTAACAAACTTACAATTTAGTAACAACCTATCTGATACTGGTGTGGTTACTGCAGCCCTTGGACCATTGCCACTAAAATAATAAAAGAAGGCTACAGATGTATTGTCACTTTTGAGGACTAAGATGCATGCAGCATGCGTCATGGTCCGCAATTATATTGACTCTTCCCCTGTTGGATCTATCATTGTTTATCTACGGCCTCATTGGCTATAAACAATGGTAATCCGTAAATATGACGGTTTCTTTTTTCTTTCATGCTTTATATATCCCTAAAACTAACTTGAAAAGGCTAAATTTGAATAAAGCCGTATTAAAAAACTTACCGATACAAATTCTTTGTCCTAATCCGAAAGGAATATAAGTGAAGGGTTTGATATTCTCTCTCTCATTTGCAAGAAATCGTTCCGGTAGGAAATTTTCAGCATTCGGAAAGAATTCTGGGTTGTGATGTAGACGATAGACTGGAATATGTATGCGCATTCCCTTGTCTAGACGTAAACCTGTCGGTAGCGTGTAATCTTCAACCAACTCCCTGGTGATGGTGCTCAAGACTGGATATAAACGAAGAGCTTCATCTATACACGCTTCGACGTAGGGCAGCTCATTGACGCAATCGTACTCAATTTTTCGTCCATGGCGATGAAGATACTCGTCTACTTCTGCTATGGCTTTTAACTGTGCTTCCTGGTTCTTTGCCAGTTCATAAAGAGTTAAGCTAAGTGTTGTAGCTGATGTCTCATAACCAGCTGCGAAGAATAAAACACACTGTGCGGTTAACAAATCATCGTTTACTTCTAGATGTACTTTCTTTCCCTCTCCAGTTTTTAGATTAGAGATGCTATCGCCGGTCACAAACTCATTTTGTTTTAAATTTAATACAAGATCTACAAAGTCGTTCCTATTTGACGGCTTGTATTGCCTGCTCTCGAATACACCGATCAGTAACTTTTTAAAGAACGATATTATTTCATTTGGGAAGATCTGATAACCCAACGAGTAGAACACTGCAGGCCACATCGCTCTGGTATATAATTTGATGGCTCTGGTTGAAGAATTTTCAAATATTTTTTCGCCCATTATTGTGTAGGGATTGGGAGTGTCACATTTTTTCATTGTGTTTGTTTCCACACCGAAGGCGCAAGAGCCAATGCAGTCCATGGTATAACGCGCCATAAGAGAGCGCACTTCTATAATTGGCGATGTCGTGCTTTCTTCGTCTAGCAATTTCTCCAGCATTCGCGAGCATTTCTCAATCAAATAGAACATGTTCTTCATTTTTGCTGAAGTAAACAATGGGGTTAGATTTTGGCGTACCACCTTCCATTTGTCTCCGTGAGCGAAGAAAATATTTTGTGTTATAATCTCTTTGTCTGTATAATCAGCTACCTCTCTACTGTTAAAGTAATAGAAGTCTTTTGTAGTAATCACTTTTATTATCTCTGGATCTTGAACTATGAGCGAGGGTTCTGTACCATAGAAAGCACCGATTAAAGGCTCCTTGGGGAACTCTTTACATATACGATATGTAATCAATGGGCCCCATTCTTTCAGTAAAATATAATCACGATAATTACCAAATAATGGCAAAGGTTTCAAATACGGCACATTCCTTACCTTCCAATAATTAAAATTCTTAGTAGATAAATAATACAACAAGAATAAAGTAATTGATAAAAAAATGATAAATAACTGCAGGATCATTGTAATTCACAGTTCAGCCACTGATAACAAAATAGTCTTAAATCGCCGTTACCTTGATTTTTATATTAGGCGAGTGTTTGACGCAATCGATATTTCGGTGGTGTAACCATGTGTAAGGACGTTTACGGATATTTCTAGAAATTTTATACATAGGTTATATATTAAATTTTAGACATGTTCTACTTGAAATATAATTTAATGTTGAAGGTAACGAGGATTGAATAAAAATAATTTTACGGATTTTATTTCGTTTAAAATTACTTATTTATATCTTCTTAGTTTATGGTATAGTATATAGTAACTATAGTTTGTAGTTGTGTTAACTATAGTTTATATAGTATATTATATTTATCCATAGGTGGTGGACTAGCGTGTACTTAACATCGTGATCACAGAGGGTCAAAGCTACCCTGGTGTTCCTTTAGCTTATTTTTTAAGTACAATCTACGCAGAATTAACTTACTGTATGTTGAAGTCTTACGGTGGTAGGCAGGGGGACAAGCCGCCTTCAATATTTAATTTAAGATGGTTTTTTTCAATTTCAATAGCCTCATGTATTATCCTTGGTAGGAATATATGTACTTTTTCGAGGATTTGTGGTCTATTAAGTTTGATATGATATCGGGGGTCATCTAGTATATAATTATAGATTCCAGGCTTCTCCGCGCGTTGGCTGACCTGTAATACAAATTTTCCGGGAAGTCTGAAATCACTATCAGCTTCTTGCAGTATTTTGGAAAATATTACTTCCCACCACATGCTTGGTGCTAGATTTTTTGGACGTCAGTGGAAAAGAGGAAATTTTCTGCCATGTAAAGTTTTTATTATTAATTTAAATACGCAGAGTCGTTCGAAACTACGATGGCGTGATTTAGGATTTGGTTGCATTTTTGTACATTGTGGTGAGATAACAGCGTCACTAAATCACACCCTTGCTGAAACCGGAAACAGATGTTGCAGTCCAGTTGCCGATGCGTCCTTAATTTCGACAGGTCATGCATTGCTGAAGTCTGCGATTTTGTTCTTTTTTTTACACTATCAATCATATAAATCAAGTTGGTCTCGGTGTCTTTTGTCCAAACTGTAAGTAATCTACATATAATATTATAGATATTGGTAAATCAATATGTGTTACAGGCATTTTATATGCTATTAAAGTAGGTAAAACTAAATTAGTTTAAAAACATAGTAGTGCGACATGTAAGTGCACATAGAGTGCACATTGAGTCTGCTTTACTGAATTGCACATTGAAATTAACAGTGCTCTTGTACATTAATTTCCTTTTTTTTCTCACCTTGTTATAATTGTTTGTCTAAAGTTGATGAATCACACAGATACAAATCTTTATATGGAAATTAATTAGAAAAAGACTAGACGATAAAATTATGTGAAAGAAAGAGATAGTTACGTACGGTTAGAGTATGTAAATATACGTCAAAATGTATGCATGTATTTTGGTCTTCCATTTCAAGACGCGATAGAAATAAAGGTGACAAACAAATACACATTACACCTAATAGCAAAGTGGGTGCTGTGGTCGAAAGACACTCACATTGACCTTGACTAAGAATTAAAACACACATGCGTTGTCACACTCGAGGACAAAAATGGAACATCTTACTAAAGCTTACCTATTTACATTCTAAGGGTATGCCTCATAACCAGTAAAATAGGTCTCTATACTCTTCACTCACCATACACAAAACGTAGCGGCATTATCCCGCTATTTTATGGTGTTATTTATTGTGAGCCGCAACCGAATCCTTCCGCGGTTGACTTCACCCATTTGTGAAGCATAACAATTTAGGTGTCACGTTACAAATTCAAGATGGTACATATATTATATCAGAGGGCCTACTAGTTCATATAATATTCTAGACACGAGTTTGACGCTCGAGAATGTATGCCTACTTCTTGAAATAAATAGTAACATCCTCGTAAAAAATATGCGCAAACGTGATATAATCAATTTAATTTTTATCGAATTGATTTTTAAAACACTTTAATCGAGATAAGAACATTATATTTATTATCCGGGAAATAACTTATACGTTCTAGGTCTTGTTTTTTTTTAAAGCGATAATCATATACAAATTTGCGTTAATATAAAAGACATTTTATTGAATTAGATTCTTAATTTATTTATAAAACGTTAACTCCACACTAGAATATTGTTCTGCATCGTGGGGCTGGGGGTAGTTTGCACACATAAACACAAGGACGCATATTCAGACCCGGAATAATTATTTGTATTGTAGCTTATATAAATACTTGTTACGTGCGGGATTCGAACACGCAACCCTTAGCGCTGCAACTCATTACATAGCCTCTGCAGCACTGAGACGTCATTTCCTGATAATAAAGCCCTTTTTTCGTGATAATAAACATAAGCGTTTTAAATAAAGTAAAAAAAAATAAGCGCTAAAATAAATTAAATCCTTTAATGGCGGAAGTAATCCTCCTTACATAAATTATAACATAGTATAACAAACGTTCAATTATTGATTAAAACTACTTTTACGGATTTTATCGCGTTTTATTTATATTAATTTTAATACCCGATGTTTCGGGTGCTTTCCAGCGCCCATGGTCACGGGGGACTGAGGTGACTGACGTCCCGATGTCAAAGTTAACCCGGAGTACCTTCAGCTTTTTAATTATTGTCTTTGGTCCGATCTACGCAGAATGAACTAACTGTATTTTGAAGTCTTGCAGTGGTATGCTTGGGTTTAGTTTTAATTTTATTAATTATAGGATCCCAAGCAGGTGGTAGTAAATTATTGTACAATAAATTTTTATCAGGGTTACTGTCTGTTCTCAATTTTAATGCCTTAAGCGCTCCTTGAGTAAACCCAGGTCGGCCATTGATGATACTGTACTACTTAGTCAATGTCTGTGGTGCAGGAAAACATGGTTTAAAGGTTTTACTTACATTGCGAAAGAATTTTCATTAATAATCAAGTGTCAGGGCGAAACATCTTAACTCTGTGAAATACTTAGTTCTGGGCAGTTTTCCCGACTTACTTTTAAGTAATTGCCTTTTCAAAAATTCGTTTTCTTCAGTTCCTATCTTTTCTAGTACCTGTTTGTTTTCTTTATTTATCAAAGATGTCTCTGTCAGCGAATCTAGTATTCCTTGCAAACTTGTAACTTTTTTCTCTAAATACTGTTACTGCCATCGAAGCCTTTATGTGCTATTACTTTTCATTTTGAGTCGTTTTTTTAATTTTATTTTCCTTGGTTTACAGTCTGGTCACTTAGATACGGTCGCTTTTGTGCCGCACCGCCTCAGCACGTGCCACATTTTGTCAAAGGTGCGACATTGAATTTAGTACCATAAAGCACCCGAAATGTCGGGAATCAAAAGTCAAAATTTAACACGATCAAATTCATAAATTTAGTTTCATTTAATGTGTAGTGTTCGCGTAAACATAAGAAGTCATAATTGTAAACTATGACTTCTTAAATACTTTCAAGAAGAATAATATTGGTGTCAAGTGTAATAATAAAACTATTTAATCTATTGATATAATTACAGCTAGACATTACCTCCCACAAGTTCAAAGTTGGTACAGCAGTATCGGCTAACCTTCTTTTATGGATAACTACTCGTAACTATTAGATATCCAAGATTCTTGATTTCTACAAACTGCAATCATATATAAAATATAGTCTGCCGCCTAAGAGGATTTCTAGGAAATATGTAAAATCAATCCTTCCACACAGGCTTGTGGGGTATTCACTTAGATTTATTTAAACACTATCTTAAAGATCATAAGCAAAAAGTAAAGATAGGTGAATACTTAAGCGATGAATCAGATATAACATTCGGAGTTCAACAGGGCAGTGTCCTGGGTCCTACTTTGTTCTTATATACATAAATAATCTAACCAACATGAACATTAACGAGGGCAACATAATGAAATGAAATGAATGATTTTATCAACACAGATTATTATATAATACTTATTGAAAGTTTTTTTTTTATTAACCACTGGTTCGCAAAAAAAACCTCTGTCCAGGGAAGAACCAGCAAGAAACCCAGCGGGAATTTTTTTTAAAACATATTCAAATTTACAATAAATTTATTTTGTTACATTTTTTGAATGAATTTTTATAGAACCTGCATGGTGGGGATCACCTCATTCCCAGGGGTTATTTTCATTTATGTATTCATTTATATTATAATAACCTTTTTTGTACAATTTTTCTTTAATAAAACGTTCTAACTTGTTTAATAACAAATTTCGTAAGTATTCTGGGATTTTGTTGTAAAATCGTATACATTGCCCCATAAATGAATTACGAATTCTGTGGAGTCTAATAACTGGTATTACAAGCTTATAAGTTTGTTCCTAGTGTTTAAAGTATGAATGTCTTTATTCTTATAAAACTTATTTATGTCTTTTATGTACATACATTACATTTTCATAAATATATTGTGATGCCAAAGTTAATATGTTTATTTCCTTAAATTGCTCTTAGGGACTCTTTACAAGAGCCGTGGTAGCTCAGATGGTTAACGCTCGCTGTAAATATAACAGAACGCGAGTAACCCGGGTTCGAACCCCGCCGGCACCAATGAAATTGTTAATTGCATTGAATAAAACTAAAATTACGGATTTTATCGCGTTTATTTCACTACTTTTACTTATTTTTAATTCCCGACGTTTCGGGTGCTTTACAGCAACCATGGTCACGGGGGGGACTGAGATGTTTGACGTCCCAATGTCATAGTTAGTCCGGCTACCTTCAGTTTTTGAATATTAATTTTTGGTCCGATTTACGCAAAACGAGCTTATAGTATCATGAAGTCTTGCAGTGGTATGCTTAGGTTTGGGTTTAATTTTGTTAATTATAGGATCCCAAGCAGGTGGCAGCACCCATCCATCTTCTCTATTGAAATTTGGATGTTTTTTAATTTCAATAGCCTCGCGTATCATCCTTGGTAGGAATCGGTGTTCTTTTGCGAGAATTTGTGGTTTATCAAAACGAATGT